ACTGCCTCACCCAGTGCATAGCATAGCTGCTGAAGGTGAATCCAGAGCCTTGGCAGGAGAGGCGGAGGGAATCTCCGGGTCTTCTCACATCCCCTCCAGACTCCACCAACTGGACCTCTGACTGGACACCTAGAAAGAAATGACGTTTCATGAGACCTTCTCCAGGTAAACACAGAAAAGGGATAAAAAACTTCCTTTTGGAATAGAAAAATATTACCTCTGAGGACTGCTAATAACAACATGAGGTTTATCCAGGGTGTCATTTTTGTTCACTCTAAAGATCAGAGGAGTTTTACTGATGAGAAAATATTAATACAGGCATTCAAGCTTTGTGTTGTTGGGCGTAGCAGGAGAGCTAGATGATATAGCTCCTTTGAGCCAGAAGGTGTCACTGAATTTGCATAGCCCTCAGGATAAAAGAGCCACCCGATGCCCTGACTTTCTAAATTTCCTTCAAACTACATTGTAGACATACTGTTGAAACACTGAAGAAGTTGCAACACCACTCAAGGCAGAATATTTTAATCCTGAATTAATTTAGTGCAGACTAAGGAGTGAAAAATGATTTGTTAAAGCACAATTTATTATTTTTTTATTTATTTGTAGATCAAATTTGTCACCTCTGATCTCATTGAATGACTCTGAGTGGTTTACAAAACAGTTAAAATCAATTAAAATTACAAAATTACATAAATAAATAGAAAATAAATAGATCCAAGAATAATTGGCAGTCACTCAGGGAGCGTCATCCGGGCTCTACCCATCCCCAGGACTGGGGAAGGTTATCACCCCACACAAGAAGGTAGAGCCAAGTCTTTAATTCTTTTAGGAAAGCCTGCCACACTTCTGGGGGGAGAATGTTCCAAAGGGTGGGGGCAACGGCAGGGAAGGCTCTCCTCCTGGGCCCCACCACTCGAATTTCTGTTGCTTATGGGATCTGCAACATGTCCTCTCTGCCTGTCTGGGTGGAATGGGTTGATGTGACGGGGTTGAGATGGTTCCTCAGGAAACCTGGACCCATGCTATGCAGGGCTTGAAAGGTGATAACTAACACTTTGAATTGCAGCTGGAAGAAGATGCCAGTTGCAGAGTAAAGATGTTATATATGCCATTTTAGGGCATTCAAAATTGTCCACACCCTTGCATTTTGGACCAGCTGTAGGTACTCCTCAAAGGTAGCCCCATGTTAAGCACATTGCTCATAGTCTAGCCATGAAATGACTTGGGCATGAGTGAGTGACCAAAGAGACTCCTGATCCAGGAAGGGGCATAACTGGCATAGCCCATGGAGGTGGGCAAAGGCTGTCCTGGAAACGACTGCCAGCTGCTCCTCTAGCAGCAGTTGTGAGTCCAGAAGGACCCCCAGATTATGCACCGGGTCCATTTGGAGCAGTGCAACCCTGTTCAAAACCAAAGATGGTAAGTTCTTGTATACAGAGGGGCTCCAATCCATAGCCACTCCATCTAACCAGGGTTCAGCTGAAGCCTGTTGTACCCATCCAGACACCCACAGTCTCCAGGCACCATGAAAGGGTGGTCATGGCATCACTCACCCAGGTTGGAGATATATAACTGGGTATCACCAGCATATTGATGATACCTCATCCTGTGGTGATGGATGATCTCACCCAGTGGTTTCATGTAGATGTTAAAAAGGGGCACAGAGAGTA